GCATCCCAAGTTTCCCCAGCTGTTTCAATTTTTACACCCATTTATCAGGGAAATGCTAAATACTCAAATGATTTCTGTAAATCAACAAGTATTTCTGTGATAGTACTGAATCCAAGCTATCAGTCTTTGATACTGTGGAATACTTTATTTTCATTGGAATTAATTTTTGCTGAAAAGACTTTTTGGGTGTTTTGTATGGAATTTATTTTCACTGATTTTTGTTGAGATTAATGTGAAATATAGGGAAAAAATGTATATTCGCTGGATTTTATTTTCACGGAATCATCCCTTCAGCGAAAATAGCGAAAATAAATTCCAAGCGAAAATAAAGTATTCTACAGTATTTATTTTCTGATCGGTTACTTCTTTGTGGAGTTTTGTCTGACATATATTATTGCAATTTTTATACCTTTCTGATGTAGTTCTTCACAACCTATGACTGAGCTCTGATTGACGAAGCGTTACTGTTGCAGTATAATCTGAAAGAAGAGACTAAGCTTGGCAATTTTATCACTCAGAGATACAATTTGGTAGCGTATAAGTATGTTTATTGTATGTATAATTTGAGTGTAAGTTTCAGTCCAATCCAACACATGGTTTTAAAAAAAAAACTCTTTTAAAAATTAACCACATGTTTTGACTGCCAGTGGCACCAAGGAGAAGCCATTTCATGGTTGAAATGGGGAGACCAAAATGTTATTATTGATCCACGCACAATAATCCTTCCATTAATTGGAACATGAGAAAATTATTATTTTTTGAGGTGGTTGAAAGATTGACGAAAAAATTATATTATTGAGAGGCTTTAGTCAATAATCAACATGACTGTGGATTACAATGGAGGTCAAAGTATAGAAGACTTTTATTTCTCATCAAGGTGAATTTTATAGCATATTTGCATATATCTATTTCTTTTCAGGTGTTAAACTTGCAAAGTCTGGTAAGTTTCACAAGCATGTGGGTAAATTGTACAGTGAGAAACTGAACCAGGTGAATGCAGGGAATGTTAGTATATGCATCGTAACTGACTTCACACTAGCAGCAGAATCTGTAATAGCGTTAGTTGAGCAGAGGAAAGAGCCTACTCAGGAAGACAGGGTGCCTGCAGCAGAGTAAATTGTATCACAACAGATAACTCCACTGAGATTAGGGTAAGGTGGAACCAGGGGTGTACTGTTTTTACAACGTCATTGCACCTACATCCATACTAGTTAAAAATGCAGTATGATAGTACATAGACCACAACATGATTTTTACTGCATCTATGTACTGCAAGTGTGGAAGTGCTTGTATAAGAATGTCCTTATGTGAGATATATATATATATATATATACACTTGAACCCATACTTGACAATTAATGTTTTTGAAATAGAACACTCAATGACTTGGAAACAACCTACTAGACTGACACTCAATGGTTCTAGTTGAGATATTATTGCCATTCACTAAATCTGCACAATGATGTAACTGTAAAATTTAAAATGGCTGCAGTCAGCCATCTTGTTCTGCATTAAAAATGCCATAAAGAACAATTGATCACATGATCAAAAGTGGTATTATTGATATATAATTTATAATAAATTATATTTATAATTTTGCTAATTTAAGATATGCTATATAATTCAACAGAATATTTTCAAAATAAAATTGTTGGCACGTTTAGCTAATTTCTCATAATTCCTGCATTGTGCCAAATTCACGAGAATGACATGTATAGCTATTTCAAATGATTTTACAGCGATATACACACAATGCAATCTTGTGAGGTCGCGGTCACCGTTGGATTAGAAACTCAATCTCAGTGACGATGACACGCACAAACACATAGATATTTTCACAAAACTTTTCCTAAAAAGCCACCTCTAGATTTGTTCATTATAACACTTGACATTTAGACATAAACGACAGTTACTAAAATATGACTCCTTTTGGGCTCCCTTGTCATGCTGCTGACATTTCAATCAATTGGAACAACACAAGGTTATACTTAGAGAGCCACAAGTCTGTATCTGGTTTCAATAATCAAATACCAGGTGATGAAGGGCAAGAATACCTAAAAAGGTTACTCTATATCATACAAATCAAAAGACTTTTAAGTGAACTATGTGTACTTCTAGATGTAAACTAATTGTACGGAGTCTGTAATCACATTAACTCTTTCAGCATCAAAATTTGTCACCATTCACAAAATCGCACATAATTTTTTCATATTTGTTCTAAAATTTTCGTCAACACCTGTAGCCAATTGAAAATGGTGTTCATTTGGTTTAAAATAATTAAATAAATTAAAAAAAAAAAAATATGCCAAATCTTCCATCAAAATTTTTGAGGGAAAACAATATGGCACCGAAACAGTTAAACATTATGCCAATAATTTTTTTAAAACTCTTTCATAACAACAAGATTTGAGTAGCCTTATATGATCAAAGAAAAAGTAATAAATGATGAAATATGAAAATAAAAGTATATTGATTAGGAGGTTATCGCCTGATGTACTTGTTAAAATTACGATGAACAGATAATACATGACTCTACAATGACCTTTCAATTACACGGCAAACTCTGGCTATCTGTCAAATAGACAGAGAAATTGTAATTTTCCAGAACTATGCATGCTTATGCTAATTTATGCTAATTTGACATGACATCTAAGCACGGCAGGGGACTCTCCTGAACAGTTGCACTGCCAAAGGTTCTCTATGATCGACAGAATTATTATCTTTTTTTCTCAATGTATGTTAAAAATTGAATTTAGAGTCAGCAATATAGCTTATATGTGTAAGTGTAATTGCATCATGGGAATAAATTGTGGACAGCCTTAAATCAATCACTGTGATAAAATCAGTATTATTGCATGATTTGTTATTTTCACACGTTCATGCTTATGTTTACATTGGTTCAACACTGCTTATTTTAACAGAAACAACAATACTTTTTCATATTCAACCATCATTGCAAACTAAATAGTATAGCATTATTCACTCTCAGTATAGTAGTCTACCTGGATGAGTGTGCCACAGAATTAAGCCACTGGCAGAAATTCATCAACAAATGGAGGTGAATTTGGAGAAGCTCACTTAAGGTGCAAGTGGTGCTTGTCTTCAACTGGAGCCTGGTTTCCACCAAGATGGATGACACATTAAATGGCCATTATGATATTTTATGATAGAAAGATGGTCAACCAGTCCAGCTGACAAGTAGTCTCAAATATAAGATGCCGTTTCTATGGCAAAATGCAGTACCGTAACTATATCTACCATTACAATTTCTGCATAAAAAAATTCAGGAGAGACAACAGTAATATTCACTTGCACAAAAATAATTTTAAACAAACAACTTAATAGTCGAAATAGCTGATAACCAAGTCAATAAATAAACACCCACAAAATAAGATTGATTATGCAATATGTCAACCTAACAAATTGTTCACAAAAATTACATGCACCTGAAATACTAAGCAACCAGGCTGGTAGTTGAAAATATCATTTGTACCAAAAATGATATAAATATTTGTGAAAATATAGATTTAATGATATCATCACAAATATAAACAAAATTGATAGAAGTTCATCCAAAGACTGGGTGTTTTCAAGAAAAAAGTGAAAATATATTTTTTTATCAAAACTAGTAGCTTCGCGGTAAGTGGCTTTTATATTGGGTGGGTTTTGTGGGGAGTAGGGCTTTGTCACAGTAACTGGTCCTTTCATCGTTGTTGAGAATTAAAGTTTTATGTTTCTTTAACAACTTGTGCTATTTTGGGAATACTATCTTTGGAAGCTATTAATTTGCCCTTATGATTTGTGCAGTTCCAAAATAAGACCCAGGCTCTGATAATGCCCATAGTTTCAAAAACCAAGAAACATTATCATTATGATCTTATTGGTGTTGCAAAGGATAGTTGAATATTGTTTATTGAAATTAATAATCCCCATAACAGTTTTCCAATATAGATAATTATAGTATGTAACAAATATATAACTCAGTCTCAACAATGAAATAAAGAAATTTATCACATGTATCATGCACTTTCAGTGTAATAACACCCGTGTGATATTTTTGGTATTACACACTTTGAAAGTGACGTCACACTTTAAGTCTGTGATGTGATTGGCCAATACAGCTAATTTCACCTTTGACCTAATCAGTAAAGTTAGTACTGAATTATGCAACACTTATGATGAGGCAGATTTTAATGACAAATTATGTAGAAATTATTTTATCGCTGTTGAATAAACAAAATATTAAAGATATTAATCACAGTCTCAATTCTCTCAACCCGAAAATAGTTCGGGCATGATAATGTTTCGTCTGCTGTCAATCGTACAAATTTGCATCTCAAAGTAAACAAACCTTCAGCTGATCGAACGTTCAAAATCATGATACATATGGGCAACTTAGTCAATACTTTTGATATAGACGTGATAGAATTCATGAATGATGAGCAAGAAAGACCAAGTGAAGGTACGTTTACGTTTTTTCTTTTGTCAGAACTGATAAACTGAGATCATGATCACTCGGCGTATTGTTTGTTCGCATAATGCATTGGGTAAAAACACATCACAATACTGCGGGTACTAATTAAAATGATTCCACAGCATGAATTTATTTTTATATTTATAATAACAAATGTAACATTTCTTTTCGTCACAAAAAATGCTTCCTTGGGTGAAGCGACAGCACAGACCACTGACAGCGACGGCGCCGAGGCCGGGCCTTCACGACCATGTAGATTTGTGCCAGTCACCGATGATGATGTCAGAAGAACAATCGAAACTCAACAAAACAAAAACACAGCCAAGAAAACTCTATATGATATGAGATTACTGGGCCAATTTTTGAAGACACCAGAAATAAACGAAGCTAGAGAAATCCACGAAATCCCTCCAAATGAACTGGAAGCAATTTTATGCAAATTTGTTATCAGTGTCCGTAAACCAAGCCTACTTCCTTACGATCTATGCTTTCTAGCTTTGAACGTCACCTGAAACGACACAAATACATGTATTCACTGATCAGTAGTATTGAGTTTAATGAGGTGCGGGAAACAATAAAAGCAAAACAGAAGAAATTAAAGAAAGATGGTAAGGGCAACCTACCGCGAACAGCTGAGGCGGCTACAGATGAGGAAATCAAAATTCTGTGGGAATCGGGACAGTTTGGGTCCCACAGTCCTGAAGCCATAATAAATACTATGTGGTTTTATAACACAGTACATTTTGGTCTGAGGGGTAATACCGAGCACCGTAACATGGGAGATGTGAGCCTATGTACTGATAGTAGCGGTCGTGAATATCTTGAGTTCTCTGAACGGCAAACTAAAACTCGGACTGGAGAAAATCCAAGGGATACCAGAAAAGTGAAGCCAAAGATGTGGGACGTCCCTGTGAATCCCAGAAGATGTCCAGTTGCTATTTTCAAAAAATACCTCAGTGTACGGCCAGTTTGTTACTCAAATAGTGACGACCCATACTACATCGCCACGCATTCTCGTGGACTGCCCAGACCGGGTGAGCAGTGGTTCCCTCACCAGCCTATCGGGATTAATAAAATAGGTTCCCTGATGAAAAATATGGCAACTGCAGCAAATTTACCCCCAAACAAACGCCTCACAAATCATAGTGCCAGAAAGCATCTCATCCAGAAATTAAGTGACCAAAATATACCACCGACACAAATAATGCAGATCTCCGGTCATCGTAACATTCAGTCCGTCAATGCCTACAGCACTATATCAGAAAACCAACACAGAGAAACATCTGGCATTTTAAATAATCAAAGTAGCCACCCCTAACTATAGCACATCAAACCCGTGCCAAACATCAATACCTTCTGTTATGCAACCTCAGCCACAACGTAACATCGCGTCCCAGTTGACATCAACCAATATCAGCCATCATGCCTCGAAAAGACGTCGGATATATGTGTTTGATTCCTCTCAGTCATCAGATGAGAACTAAATAATAACTTTCAATCGACGCAGCGTTGACTTCCATGTTTGATCTCGTGGACCCATGTCAATGATGTCATGGAGTGACGGGGAAACCCCCGATAAATACTTGTAGTTCCTACACCTTTTTGATGTATTTAATAGTTTTTACTGCTTTCGTTTTTCGCTTTAAGTGTTTAAGTTAAAAATAATGTAATTTGTTTATTTGTATTCTAACTAGTTTGGTGTTTGGACTTTTATTAAAGTTCTTTTTGATCGCTTTTGTCTCTTCAATGACTCTTCACTTTTACTTGTTCGACTGGATCATTGCGCCCAATGTTTGCGTTGTCGATTTCGGCTGCCGACGACAGTGGAAACATTTGGCTTTGAATTACAAAAAAAACAAAACATGTGATAAATAGGATCTCAAATTCGTGACCGTGTAA